GGGCAATATCTTAGAGAGTAGGGAGAGAGCATGTGATTATTCTCAGGAGCAATATCTGCCCTTGTCTCGTAGGGCTTTACACATGATTACTGGCCCTTTGAAAGAGCTCCTACAATCAGCGGATTGCTCACTCCCGCTGAAAGCACTAATTATTATTCCCCCAGCGGTGCCTTCTTGATAATTACTTAAAAGATAAAAGTGGTCCCTTCACCCGGGGCGATGGGAATCGATGCTCCCGCAATTAAGTAAGTGACGCGTTTATTGGCGGCCGGAACTCAACTCTCTCTCGGCCATTAGTGAAATATTAAACTCTTCCAATCCCCTGGACTCTTCACACGGAAGCTTCCAAATCTAATTACAGTTTGGGCGCCAGATTACATCTCCCTTCGCTATTCGGCCATCGTCCAGGATTAATTTTTTTTTTTCAGTGAGCAATTGCAGTAACAGTAACGAAGAACTGCTCAGCTGCAAGGAGATCATCAAGCCTTCATTCAGAAGGGAAAGAAAAAAATTACACTTTTGTTTCAAACAGAAAAGTACTCTCAACCAATATTTCTAGAAATCTCATTGATGACAAAACCATCAACAAGCCACTATAAGATTTCTTGAAAACACATTATATTAATCAATTTTAAAGATTTATTACTAAACTATTTAATTTTTTTTCTCATTATTTCGATTACATAAATGCACCAATATTATTCTATACCAGGTATGACTGTGTTTTTATGTTTTTTAATTTACTTATCTTTAGGTTATTTTATTTTTTTTATTGTACGTAGTTTTGATTATTATTTTACTTTTATTTGTTAATTTTATATTTTCTGTATATATGGTGTGAATGTGTTCATGTATCACTACTAACTATTGTCCACGTGACAGATTGTTATAATTATAAATAAATAAATTTAAAAAAATTATTATCTACAAGAGCAATTTCTCTTGAAGACCATTTCCTCATCATATATTATTTTATTACGTTATCCTTAATCTTTCTGGGTATCTTCTTCTACCATTGAATATCTAATCGTACAATTTCAATGGTAATTAACCTGGCATTATTTTTAAATATCTAATCTACGAAGTCATTTTTCTCTATATCATAAATTTTTTTTTTGTATACAGTAGACTCCCGCTTACCCGTCCTCGTTGGGACTGAGAAATAGTTTAAGCGGGAGAGCTGGTTATTACAAAGAGTACAAGATAAAAAAAAAAGACATATTATTTCAACTTTCATATTGCCGGAAAATCAAAATACAACACACAACTTAATCAATAAAGATTATTGATTAAGAATTGCAAAATTTAACATTTTTTGGACAATTAAATTTAAATATTTACAATCATTTTTGCTAACGATCTTGCCAGTTTCTCAAAATCTTTTTTTTTTTTTTTTTTTTTTTTTTTATTTTACCGAACTTAATCTCTTCTCAGTAGTACTGCGTCGATAATTACGCCGTACTTCTTCATTTAGTTTTCATTTTTCTATTAAATAAAAGAAGGATAATGATTTAGTTTCAAGAATCAGTTTTACTTCTAATAGATTTGTTTTATTGAGCTTTGGTCAATTTAAAAAAAAAATAATAATCAAAAACCTTTTTGTCTACATTTCAATCTGTTTAAAATCTATCGAATCGCAACACAACAAAAATTAAATTTATAACTAGTAGCTGAGAATCTCACAAAGTTATAAGTTATTATAAATAATAATTTAAAAAAAAAGTTAATTTTTTTTTCTTTTACCGCTACTGATTAATCCGGAGAGGTAGTTAAGCGGGAGCCGGTTAAGCGAGAATCTACTGTGCTTGTTACTTGTCCTTATTACTTTATTTTTGACCTAATGAATTCAGAGTAGTCTTTTCGTTTGTTGCTGAATTCCATTTCAGTGAATTCTAACATTATTCTTATATACATTTATTTAGTTTTTATAAATGATAATTACCATAGATATTATCTTTATTTCCATATCCGTATTAAACTTATGTTAGGAACGTATTAAATTATGAAGCTCATGGTATATAAATGTTTGATCTCTTAAGTGTCATACTAACCCTAACCAATAATCTCTTATCTATTGAAAGTAAAGTAATATTTTTTCAATAGGCAAGAGATTATTTTTTTATCAATTAAGTCTTTTCAATGCATGTGAAACTTAAGCATTGCCGACTCTACTTGTTTTATGTTATAAATCGAAACAAATAATTGAAAATTCTAGCACCAATCTGGAAATTTTATTTTGTTTAATTGATCTAAATATTAGATTGTCAGAAGTACCACCTGCATTAAATATATAACAACTCAATTAACCTTAGTTCCTTAAAAGTATGTAATTAATTAATTTTTTCCTAAGACAAATTACTCCGAGACTTTGAGGCATCTTAAATTGACATTGTAATTAGTAAATTGAAACTTTAGCTCGGTCCTAGAAGGGATTTAAGTACACTCAACTTCTTCATGTTAATTCTGGGAGAAATTAATTAACAAACTGGAATAGAAGAAGAGGTCGAAACAATTCTGCTTTGTTTAACTTGTGCCTTCTCCTAAGACCCTGTGGCATCCGCCCAGAACAGATTCCTACGTTTACATGCTCCCCGTTGTCTTCTCCCTCTTCTGGGGAAATCCTCCCTTTGATTTCATATTCTTATGTTTGTAAAGAAGTATTTGGTGAGCAATTCTTTTATATTCTATACAGAATGAATATTTTTTATCTCCTATGTATACAGCTTTTAGTATTAATAATATCTTAATTAATTAGCATTGAGAACATCTTGATAGAGAGCTATGTGTCCAAGATCACTACCAGCGAAGGTTGAAATTAAATCGATCTATGTCGAAGAAGAATTAACTGTCATTTACAATTAAAAGAGCATTAAAAGGATTAGGAAACAATAACAGTATTAAGGATTCACGAATTAATTTATTCAGAAACAAAAGGTGATATGTAATCCCAAAAGATTTCAAATAAAACGGCGAGGGTCTCAAATTGTAACTTATAATCAGCCAACGGTCCGGCATTTAAATGAACAAGAATGAAAATTTTAAAATCAGACCAATCTTAGAAGTAATTGACTGAATAATTTATCGAACATATGGTACATATAAATCAATTGTATCAATTGATATATATATATATATATATATATATATATATATACATTTATATATACACACAACACATGTGTGGTTATGTAACCTTCTTCTATGAAGTTTGTTTGTTCTTTTATTTAAAATAATAAAGCTGTTGTTTCTTCTCAGTTCTGCACTTATTAAAAACTCACAAATCTTTGATATAATCGACAATTTTTTTATTTAAACTGTTATCCTTTGAAATCCTATTCAAATAGAATTAGCAGAATAGACCAACAGAAGCAGTACAATCGAATAGAAGCAGTTAATACTCCTTCCTAAGGTAAAACGAGGTAACATATGTAAGATAAATTTCATTTATCTTACATATTTTTTTATCTGTAAACCATATATTTCTTAGTAATTCATGAAAACCAATGAGTGAGTCAACGTTTTGAAGATTACCTTCATCGCTAATGTTGAAATAAGGTCTACAGCATAAAAAAATGTTTTTTTTAGATGTTTTCTCAATATAAATCTTGCTATAATTGTTTCTAATTTACCTGAAATACGATATGTTTTCCATAAATTGTAGATATTTCAACTTCCATATTAGATGAGTGGTTACGTGTTTTACTATTGTTATTGTAAAGAGCTAATTTTATACTTGATAAGTCATAAGTTTTTTTTTTTTTTAATTTCCTCTGTAAGGTTTGGTATGTATTGTATTATAAAAAAAAATATGCTGCTAGATTTCTTCTGTAATTTTCATCTGTATTTTTATTTTTTTTTTTTATCCTCATATATCAATTTTGGTTTATTATTTTCAATAATCAACCATTGTGATAAACCAAAAAATTCAACAACTGAACCCTCTCTCAAAATTTGAGGTTTTACGTTTCAGGATGCGTATAATTCGAAAAACGAATATAAATTTTTTTGTCCGGCCGCCGTCCGCGCATTTTCTCCGAAACTACTGGACCGATTTTTTTCAAATTTGGATATAAAATCAGAAGTCACCCGAGGATGATCCTCTTTCATCGGCATTATTATCCGCCTTTTACTTTCAAAATGGTGGCCGAAAAACCTGGTTTGCCGTAGACTGTAGCTCCTAAACGAATGTACCGATTTCAATGAAACTTTGCCAGTCATTTTCCCGACGCCCTTTAAATTTATCTATATAACATAGTTCAGCGAGAAGAAGCTGGAAAAAAAATAACGAGGGATGGTAAAATTAAATGCTGAATAACTCAAAATGTTTACACTTTTGTGTTGATATTGTATATGGTTTTTTTTAAAAGTTTAAGGAATTTCCTAAAAAAAATCGTTAAAATTGTACAATTAGGAGCAAAGATATGGCCTCCGGTTTTTTTTTATATGTTCTACTCCAAATGTTATATCCTTTGTTTGGTTTTTAAATTCTGAATGTGCTACTGAAGTAATGCTATTTCTTTTTTTTTTTGCATATTAGTAATGATTAAAAGAAAAAAAGTTTAGTCCAATAATTGGAATCACCTTTTATTTATTTTTATTTGTAACTAGGAAGGTAATGTTACTTTGATGTATAATTGTTTAGAAATAATCAACCATTGTGAAATAATTTGCAGCGTTTTTTTTTTTTAATGTTTTGTCCAGACAGAAAACAGATAGAAATGTAATTAATACCAAACATTTAATTAAATAGAATATAAGTCATGTCGAATTTCGCCCGGCTCCATGTTGATAAACAAAAACGTATCATGCTAAAGCCCGGACACATATGTTAGTATTAACTTTTCATTAACGAAACCGCTTAAATCACATGACCGAGCGACAGGATCAGCTGAGGCACAATGACTCCAATTTATCGGAGGTCCAAATGAAAGGGAGGAAGAGATAATGTAAAATATGCAAAGAGGGACAGCCGCAGCTGTAATCGGCGATGACTGGTTCCCATGACACTCAGACGTCAACTCATCTGGATTATAATCCCATTAAATGGCGGGCCCCCTGCCCACAATGGGCGGCCCATTGTGGCCCCACAATGGGAAGCGCTACAATATATATTTCATAGGGCCGCTCCTTTTCACCGGCAGGGACTTAGCCAAATAGCTCGCCTCTTCTTTCTCTTTTTGCCCGGCGCCGTTTCGTCTCAGTCCCAGTCATAATACTGTCACCCACTTTCGCCCCTCTCCGCTAGCCTACGGTTCGGGTACGGATAGCTTACGGTTTTAACCGATCCAACGAATTATTTTGTTTATTATTGTTATGTCAAAATTTATTTTATTATTAAAAAAAGAAAAAAAAAGTATAGCTAATTGTATTGGTTTCATATTGAATATTTAATAGTTGACTGTTGCATTATAAAGGAAGGAGATGATCCGAGGTGGGGGTCATAAATAGGCAAAATAATGGTAAAACTATTTTATTAAAAGAATGTACAAAGTACTCAATTTGAGGATCCTGCACTCATAAAATAAGTGGCGGCAAATGAAAACAATAAGTGAGGGTAGGAATAGCCCATCTGACCAATAGTTTTATTTTTATTTTTTAGTCTTCATTTGACAAGCAGGAGAGGGGGACCACACCATCAGTTGGGTGATTACCATTTTTATCGATTAAATTATTAAGATTTGATTTTAAATCTTATAATTTTAAATTAGGTTTTATTATCATTTACAAAAGTTTAAATTGTTGTTAATTTTTATTATTTTACCTAGCCTGATAAAGGTCTGATAAAAAACCGAAACCGGTTGCGCAACAGTGAAAAATAAATGGAATATACAGGAAGACCTCTTATATTCCTGGTATTCTTCTGAGCCGTTTGAAAAGAAGATGCCCATGAGACCTTCTAAATTAATACAATCATTGAAGTGCTCTCAATGGATATTTGCTTCACGTGATACTATCATATTGTATGTTCTATAAGCAAATTTACTTATTTTATTTTTCCTACGCAGTTGTAAACTTGAATAAATAAATAAAAAATTTAATTACAACTGTTATTATCGATATTGCGTAAGGAAGTACGGGACAGATGTTAATCTGTAAAGAGGTGCAGTGGGGCACATCCTCCACTAATTATGGCACTTATACTGAGTGAGGGAGCTTCACCCACCTTCACAAATCTTAGTCAGCCTTCGGTTCGGGCACTCTAGTTGATAACAGGGCCAACTTAGCAGATTAAGAATTCGATATTTAGCAACTCAAAGTTATATTTAGTATTTAATTATGTAACAAACTGATTGATATCATTCATAAAAATGATTGCTAACTAATTACCTGTTACCTGAACCTAATTACCTGAATATAAACCATTTAATTTTGCTGTTTATAGAATCGAAAGATTTTTAGTTTAATTTTATTTAAAATTAAATAAAATGCTTCGTAATTAAATTGTACAAGATTATTAGCTTTACTTTTTTTATTTCGATAAATATGATAAACAACCTTATTTTGGTTATTCATATTTTTTAATAATTATTATATTTAATCTATATATGATTATTTATTCACCAAAACCCATTTTGATCTGACAATATTAATTATACATTTAAAACATCTTTACAAACATTATTATTTTTTAACGTTTCGGCTCCAAGATGCTTTTTTTTAAAAAGAAAAACAATTTTTAAAAATGGCTCTTGGAGCTGAAATGTTTAAAATTAATAACATTTAAATGTTTGTAAAAATTGTTTAAATGCAATATAGTTTATTTTATTTGTCTAAGGAAATTCCTGTACAAATAAATATAATGGTATAATGAACAATGTTAGACATTGATTCTAGTACTGCATTCAAACATAAAATTAACAATATCCACAGCATTAAGTATGCCAAATATAATAACAGATTAGTAAACGATATATATGTATATATATATATATATATATATATATAAGCATTAATGTAAATTGTTTAAATGTATAATTAAAGAATGTCAGATTAAAAAGATTTTGATAAATAAATAATCATGTATAGATTAACTTGTGCCACTACAACCCTTCAAGTTCAGTACTATTTAGGGAAAGCACTGTTTCTTGGTCTACAGTTGTGCAAGGAGCTGATTTAACCGAAATCCCGCTCAACCGCCAGTTTTTTTTATTAATTAATTATTTTAATTAAGGGTGCCCACTTTATAGGGACTGGGTGTCCAGGAGGGTCTACCTACGCAGTTGCGCCCCACGGCCAATGAAACAGAATAAATAATTTTTCTGCCATGAGACAGGGACCTGGACTGGGACCTTTAGCATTGGAAACTCAGTACCCTACCCCTGAGCTGCCCCACTCCCTCATATATAGATTAAATATAACATTTATTTATCTGTTTAATAATAACACAATCTACCGCACCCAAAGGCAATAGGTATTAGGGCTAAAAGAATCCATACATAAATACAAGGAAAATAATTAAGAACAAATTTAAACAAAAATAAACAAAAAAGCTAAAATAACCAAACAAATATATAAAATGAATTTAAGTAGTAATAAAGGAAGTATAATAGTAAATGTAAACAATATATAACCTCTTAAACGAAAGAAAATATATATTTTCAAATCAAAAATAATGTTTCGTCATAATTCATTACTGTCATAATTGATCTGGTTACAAAAATAAATGTTTATGTTATTTATTAAAATAGTGGTTAGATGGTTGACTGTAGTGAAAATTGAAGAAAATTTGGTTAGGTTGTTAAGTCAAAAAAATAAATACATAACATTTATTTTTCTTTTTGCCGTTTTGATGTTTTGTCCCAAAGTTCAGGACATCATCAGGTCGCATGGAAGGTACCCGCAAGATACTGGATAAGGTAGGTAATATCTCATCCGTAAACATCCCCTCAAAAGTTATTAAAATCTTAAGTTTAGGCCCAAATTTCCAGACCTAACACCTCTGTCAAAATCATCTCACAACTTATCACTAAAGAGAAGGCCGTGGCGATGTTCAGCCAAAAAAAAAAAAAGTAATAATAAATAAATGATATTCTCTTCAATTTATTAAAATATATATTTGGAAAAATAAAGTTATTTTTCATTTATAAACAGTAAGGTAAAAATTTTAACCTTTTATTTGAAAAACTAGTATTATATAAGTTAACCAAGATGATATGAGAAAAAGAACTAATAATCGCTTCATACACATGTAAAGAAAAAAATTATCTATTTTATTTTTTAAAATATAAAGCCATTAAAGTACAGACGTTTTCTGCCAATATTATTTTTAATGATTGGTCTTTTCGTTTTAGGATCTTATTAAGTTAATCTGAAGTTTTAGTTGCATTTGATCATTAAATGTATGAAGAAGGAATGTATAAAGAGAAGGTGAATGAAATTTCAGAGCACAGCGAGTCACTTCATGTTTATTACAGTATAAATTAAATATTGAATATTTAATAGTTGTCCGTTGCATTATAAAGGAAGGAGATGGTCCGGGGTGGCGGTCATACATAGGCTAAATAGTGGTAAAACTATTTTTATTAAAAGGCGACGTTTCGACCCGACTTTGCAGGTCTTCTTCAGGGTGTTTAGGTTCAGTTCTAAGTGAAACTCCCAGCTGAACACACCTCCCTGAAGAAGACCTGCCAAGTCGGGTCGAAACGTCGGCTTTCAACAAAAATAGTTTTACCACTATTTAGCCTATTTATGATCTCCACCCCGGACCATCTCCTTCCTTTATAAATTAAATACTTCCAGCCTGTACTTTGTTTCTAAATAAATAATTATCTATGTCATTCCGCGCAATGAGAAGGATGAAGAATGGCTGAATACATTGTGGAGCCGCCATTTAAAAAGACATTAATTACCGCATATATAATAGAGATCTGACAGTGGATCCCTGCGCTAAGCCGATGCTAATATGAGCAAGGGTAAGTCGTTCCCAGCATGGGAACTGCTCCACATCGGCGGTGGCTGGTGGGGGAGACCGTAGTGGGAGCCGATATTGTAATATGTTTTAATCCGTTGAATAATTTATAGCAGCCTTTGTTATTGCAGAAGAACACAACAGAGCTTGAAATAGAACAATTCAAAGGAGGATTTAAAAACCTGAACCTCCGGAATTAATAATGCTAACGACAGATGAATATATTTAAGCTAAAGGAGGTTTAATAATAATATAGCTTTATTGGCATCATCTTCAAGACAAAAGTCTCTCTAATAGGAGTTGCAATGTAGTTGTGAAAATATTAATAAATACAAATGAAACAATGAAATAAAACATAGAAGACAAAATAAAACTTCAAAATTGTTTGAAGTAATAAAATATGTATTTGATAATTTATTCCTAACAATGGAGGCATAACAACCATTTACGGATCATTTTAGTCCTTACACTATATTTATATTACACAATATAAAATTTAACGATAAACTCGATGGTAGAAAAGACTAAAATTCACAAAAAAACAAAAGTATAAAAGAAAAAAAAAATTAAATTTTGTGAAATAGTTGTTTTGTTTTTAAAAATAAAAACATCTGGTTTTCCTTCTGAGTGTGCTATTTTATTTATTTTACTACCGTTATTCTTCAACTCTACTTCATTCCGATTTGCTGCATAGGCATAATACCCGGACAAGATATGCCTGACTGTTAAATTGACACCGCAGTAGACACTGAGGGGGTTAAACCCCTTTTTCGTTAAGTAGCCCATGTGTTAGCCGTGAGTGTCCGATCCGTAGTCTTACTAGAATGATTTCTTCTCTATTGTTCAACTGAAAGTCCGCTCGATTTCGAACTACAGTGGGTTCTCTAGTCTAGACCACTCTCAACATAATATCTCTTAGAAGAAGCGAGGGAAACTGCCATTTTTCAAGAGCATTTCTCTTTACCAAAGATACTATTTACTGTGTTAAATCATCCCCTACTAGAAAAGTAACAAAATATATAAGTAGCGAAATTTTCTAACAACAAAAGCCCAAATTCAGTCCAAAGTCCTTCGAGAAATAGTTGATGCTCCGTTCTATGTAACCAACCAAACTCAAGACCATGACCTTATTATCCCATTTGTCGTAGACCTTATTCTTGAAAAAAAAAATTCCAACACCATCAAAACCTTACATATCATCCAAATCCATTTGCACGACCCCTCTATAGTTCTACTTACTCCTACAATCCTCGTCGAAGGTTGAAGCGGGAGTGACTCAAAGACTTGTTATAAGAAAATATTGGA